TATCATCTCATATTCAAGACATAAGATGGTCTTCTATTACTTTTACTAAACATTTTCTTAATTATTTTTTATTATTTTCTTTATTATATATTATTATTTATTTATTAATTATTTGCAAAAAAAATATATCAATATCCTTAGAGCCTCTTGGCCATAATCTTTTTTTAATTTGCATATCATCAGCTTCAATCCAGACATTAGAGGATTCTTCTCTACATATACTTGTATAATGACCATTATCAATACTTGATCCATTGTGAAATATAGCATTCATGACCTCATAAGACTGCCCAGCTATTAATACTTTGGTTGTTGGAACAGCACATAAATTAAGTTTATATTTTTTCATCGACTTATCATCCTGTAATATAATATGTACAACAAATATTTTTTGCATCGATATTAATTCATATTTAAATAACATATTTCCTGCACAATATTCATATGGCTCATTAAACCATTTAGTCCAGTGTAAAAATGTAATATTTATTAAATCTTGAAGATTATAACTATTCTCCTTCAAATGATTAATAGATATTGTAAAAATAATATTCTCACTTGTGGTACATTTTGTATTTTCACAAGTTTTGCAGCGGTCGATAGTATTTATTTTACAAAAGTGAATCTTTTATATAATCATATTTGTCACAAAGAGCTGTGAGAAATTGAAATGCATCTCGTTTTATATTATCAGAAAAATATTCTTCTAAATATTCCCGTATTGCATACGTACTCAATTGAGCCATTCCCTTTTCATACTGATACGCTAATTTACCTAAAACGTTTGATTTATCCAAAATAAACAATTGTCTGATATCAGTTATGCAATAAACATTGCAATATTGAATTTAAATAACATGAAACTTTATCTTGTAACAACCGTACGTCTCGCGTTGGTTGTTGGTCGTATCGCCGGAAATATCGCTCGTCGGAATCAAGGATCGTTATATGATTGACACTAGCAAATAATAACAAATAACAATTTATTCGATCTTTAGAATACAGAGCAACGGTGTGAGCTACGCGTGTTTCGGCGCGAGACGGCAGCAGTGATCGGGTCCCGGTTTCGCTTGGCCGGGTCTCGCGATTCGGTAGGCGGGGCGAATAGCGCGAACTTGGCACTTTGCAAGAGACAAGTCGCGTAGAATCCGCGAATCGCGATGCGAACAGACGTATGGCGACGGGGGTCCGGCGGTACGCGGGATCTTGACGTGTCGCAGCACGTCGCGCAATATATCGGGCGACTCGCGTATTGCCGTATGCAATAAAGCAAGTATCGACAACGTTCGATCGGGCGCAGCGAACACACTGGCTCGGATGCTTGCTCGTGTGGTCGGGATACGATCGGTACCGAGAGGACTCGATCGGGTTCGCGAATACACGAACTCGTAGGCCGGTCGTCGGATCCTGATGGGACGGCGAAATCGGTGTCAAGAGCGCTTGACGGAGATAGCGAACACACAATCTCCAAGTGCCGGTTTCGTCGCTGTGGTTTCGGAAGGTGACGGGGAGGTAGAAACGATACGGTCGGATACCTTGCTCTCCGCTCTGAAGCATCGAGTTCGGTCGGCGGTCCGGATCGGTCTCTCCGCTTATTTCTCGGCCACGGTTTATATACCGTCTCGTTACATTTGATGTTGTTGTTGACGTTCCGTGTCTTTAGGCGTGGCGCATGTTTATGTTTGGGTTTATTTGTTTGGCGCTTAGCGCCGTTTACAGCCAACGGATGTTGTGTCGGCTGTTATTAGGGACGATGCGTGTAAGGCATCGTCACAATCTGTATTTTGAAAACCTTTTATAACCCATGCAGTATTCTGTAAAAATTTTTTACATGGTACTTGAGTACGGGAAACTATCTTTGGTGAAGTCCACAAGATATCTTTCACTTTATGATGTTTCTTCTTAGAAACAGTAATCAATGCTGTTTTTGCTTTATGTACCTTTTTTAAGCGATTATACTCAATAATAGCCTCCTCACTAGCTTTAACTAACGAAGGATCACAATTGATCAAATGCAGTCCTTCTATAGAGGTTACTCGAGATAATGCAACATATACCTGGCCACAATTAAATACAAAGTTACCTATATCCATGACAACATTTC